TAAAGGGCATATCACTGCATGTTACTGTCCAGAATCCACTGTTAAAGTTCAAGAGAGTAAGATACTATTTCTTTCTTTCATTACTGAGGTTTAGCAGTGTCTGAAAAGGCTCTGATCCACAGTTAACTGCTCAGTTAATATTCTTAATGGAATGAATATCACTAAGTCAGTATGAATAAAGGGCCCAAGGGCATATGGGAGAAATGTATGAGTAATAGAGAGTAATAAAGCTCTTCCTGCACCCTTGATTAAACCATAATTTTAATATTAAACCAACTTGTAATTTGGTTGTTTGAAATGCAGAGATAATGGGGCTTTGTTCAGAATAGTGCACACACACATGCACATGCACACACACACACACACACACGCACACACACTCCCCATGTCTATAGCACAACCCAGCTATTTTACCATCAGAGATTCTGCTGTTGATTAGTAGTTTGGGGTATATAAATGGGGCAGGAGAAGTTCAATAGGAATCTTACAAGCTTTACACAGCACATTCGTTCAGATACATTAAAGAGGTCCTGTTGTGAGATCATTCCTGTTGGCTTTGAAACCCATGTAGTAAGTTGTACAAGTCCACTATTATTGGATAAGAGTATAGAATTGACATCATATTTCTTTAACTAGCCTTCGTTATGTTAAAGACTTATGCACTAACACTAAAGATATCTATATGTCAACATAGTACTGTTCCTCTCTAGAAGTCACAGCCACTCCCCAAAGTGGCTGGGCATGTGATGACACAAACTATGATGACGCCAGAGTCTCCTTTGTCTCCTACACTGAATGGCACCTGGCACCAGTCGTTTCCCTCAGGCCTGACTTTGCTCGCATAACACACTGGGCTGTACCGTTTGTTTCCCTTTTACTTCATTAAGTCGAGGAAAGAAAAGGTTAGCCTTATAAATTATCTTTAGTTTCCACTTAAAAATTAAGCATGCTAAATTTTAACTACTTCATATGAACACTAAACAGTGCACAAAATGAAGTTGTGTAGAGCAAAAGGTAACTCTACAAGCCAATCTGAAAAACGGTTTGCTTCAGTAATAAAGGGTATCTGTAGAAAAGAAGACATCGATATCCAACTGCTGTGTTATAACCAGTAGCTCATTTGTTTCTGACCACCCATGTGTCAGTGGAGAAAAGAATGGTGCCTTGTAGTTCGTGGCCAGGAAAATGTCTAGAAGTATCACTCCGTGTGGATTTCAAAATTTTATATTCAAGCTGTGCCTGTCATGTGGCTTATTTGCACCTAGATTTAACTGCCCTAGCCATCGAGAAAGATAAAAGGAAAACATACATTTTTTCATAGTATTTAACTTTAATTATGAAGAAGAGGTTAAAAACCTTGGGTGCACTCTTAAGATATCCCAAACTAAGCCAGTTATGACTCCTTTTACCCTGTGGGCCTGAAGAAGTAGAAGAGACTGGTGGAAGTCAGCAATGCTTATTGTTCAGTATGACTGGGAACAAAAGCAGAGCCTGGTCTTGTGAAGAATATAAGCCTGCTGAGTTTGAGCATGCTATTCATCTAAAGTATCCGAAGATACAAAGCAAGTCTGAAGTGTCAAAGAAGAGCTCGCCTCCTGAGACTGGAGAAAAAGAGATCACTCTGCACAAGCACAAAGGCCTGAGTTCATATGAGCACCCAGATAAGAAGCAAGGTTCACATTCACCTGTAAGACCAAGGCTGTGAGTTGGGGAGTGGCTAGATGATTTTGGGGCTGGGTGGCTACAAGCTTAGATCCACTAATCCCATCTTAAAGGATAGCGATGGTGACATCATGCAATGTCCTTTGGCCTCTTCACATGCACACACACACACACACACACACAGAATGTATCTTCTTATGTGGGGGAGCAGGTTACGTGGTCTGAAATTAACCAAGAAGAAGTTAGAATTTTGTTCTTGGTATCTCTTTTAGATATTTTATACATGCTTTAATTCTTTTCCATCCCATACTGCCTTCACTCACTTCCACACATATTTATATAGAACTTCGGTGCAAGTCCCTTATATACTGAATGACCGAATACTCTATATCATGTAATATACAGATAAGTGGAGAGCGTAAGGAAGATACCTGTCTCTTTAATTCAGCGAGTGAATGATTTAATAAGGCAAGAAGATAAATTCTCTCAAGGTAAATGTTAGTGATGTTCATGACTGCTGCTGGCAGTATGAATCTACTCTCCTGTTACAGAATACCCTTTCAACACATTTGAACTTGGGGGGGGGGAATAAGCAACCCACTCCCACTGTCCTACATGAGACATGGTGTCTATCTACCCTACAATAAACACATCGTCTTCAATTTCTTTAGCATTGACATTATCTTCACCAAGCAGTCATCCATACTTGTAGCTTTGAAATGTAGCCTAAAACCCAGAAAGGGGTGATTTGAGTTAAATAAAGTCCATGGCTCAGAAAATTTCTGTTCTCTCTCAGTCTACATGCAATGGAGGTTGGCATTCCCACATAGCTGTGAAGGAGTCATACTATCTGATAGTTATGAGGGTATAGGTATAGGAGTATAGACTACACTCAACCTTGGGCTGGTTTCCAAATGATGCTCTTAAGTTCTGTTAGGGACAGGGTATAGTTGAAAAAAAAATGCTAAAATATTTGATTAGTTTAAAAAATATTCAGCAGTTATATGGGTTAGTGGAAGGAATTTATACCCAAAATGATTTCATGATCATCAAGAAAAATAAATACATGTGTATGCATCTTCTCCAGCCATTGCTAAATGTGTAAGGATGGACTTGTACACAGTTAGTGGGTTTGAGGAGGCAAATATTTGACAGAAGTACTTTAAAAGGATGAGCATTTATTCAGAAATAACCAAGAAAAACTTTGTGTTTGGGGGAAAGGAGGAAACAGCGGAGATGTGCTTGCCTGACTCGTTTATAAACTGCTGCTAAGAGGCAAACGAAATTCATGCTATGCAAGATTATGCAATTTATTGGGAATGTGCAGGCTCCCCTGTTCAGCAGCCCTGATAACGACACTAATAGCTTAATTACAGCTTTCTGCTTAAGGAGATAAACAAGGCTGTTTGCTTTGTCTCTTCCTTTAAATCAGGGGTTACAATTACTTTTAAATGTGGTAGAAAGGCACATCTGTGAGCACATCTACTTTGTTAAGAAAGCAACCAGAAACCAGCTGGAAAGTAAGGAAGCCCAGGAGTGAGCAGGCAGTGTAACATTAGAGAGAGGGAGGGGAAAACAGTCCCATCTGAGCATGGAGCAGCAGACACGAGACACAACAAACAGGCAGCAGTGTGTGTGTGTGTGTGTTTGTGTGTGTGTGTGTGTGTGTGTGTGTGTGTGTGTGTAGAACTGTCAGGAATAGAAATGTCTTGGAGAATATATTTTCCCAGGATGCCATCAGAGAAATCCCAGGAACACCCCATTCACTGTTTGCTGTCCCTCGTGCAGTCAGGTCTCTGCCTCCCCATCCTTCGCTTCAGCACCAGGACGTGAGGACAGCTCCTCAGCCCTCCTTACAGAGCTCTGGCTGCCCATGTCATCTTGTCCTTTAGCATTTTCTCTAAATGGTGTTGGTCCTGTCACTGCCATTAGTGGTGCATGTAGGGAGACACAGGAGGGACTGGGTCCATGTTTGGCTTCCTTATTTCCAAATGAGATGGAAGGCATGATCTGTCTGAACCAATCTTTCAGTTGGACTCCAGAGCAATTTAACCAGAATAAAAGATGAAGTCATTGGTTTGAATCTGTGGTTCAGTGTAATTGAATAGTAGCGAAACTTGATACCCTTCTTCAGTGATTTATTTTATTACTTTGTTATAGCACTACTAGGAAGGAAAACAATCTTTACTAACTGTACTTTAGTTCATTTTCTTTTCTACTAAGTTGAAAACACCAAAAATGCCTAATATCTTTAGCCTGAGAGAACAAGATTAGTCCTAAAAGGACCACTTTCCAGTTCTTTGGAAGGCCTCTAAAAACATGTGCCGGACCTGGAAGATGCAAGCAGGGCTTCCCACAAGAGCCCCCACAAACTACTACAGCATGCCACAGTGACCAAAACTCCACAATGAAGGTCTCTCCCCTCCAATTTCAATGTAGAGGCAACCATTTAGGAAGTGACCACACACATTGTTTAAAGAGCCAAATCATTAAGAGGAAAACATACTTGGTTACTCTGGTCCAGTCAGTCATCCCCCCGTCCCCCACTTTTGCCATTAAAAAGTTTCTTACTCAGTGAGTCAATCTTTTTCTTCAAGCAACAGTCTTGTGTCTAAACTCTTCTCCGCAGGGCATTGCGTACTTATTCTTTGCTCCGGCACACAAGAGTGTACACACACACACACACACACACACACCAATTCAGTTCTTAATTTTTGTTAAAAAAAAGTGTTGTCTGCTTTTTAAAACTTATTTTGAAATTGATTGAGCCTTAAGGGAAACACCCTCACCCTTTAAGACAGCATGCAGAGGAAAAAACACGGTCAGGCTAGGGTTAGGAGCCATTCAGAAGAAGTGTTCTATAAAGTTAGTGGTGAAAACTTCAGAGAGAGCAACTCCTCTGAGTTTGGAGCAGCAGCAGGAAAAGGACAGACTGATGTTTCTTATTAGGTGACCCTGGGTGCCTGAGTCACACACCTGAAGCATAGTAACTGAATCTTTCTGTCCCCAACATTTACTCTTTCCTCTTCCCCCTCCCCCTTCTCTCCCTTTTCCCTCTCCTCTTCCTTCCTCATCTTCCCTCGGTCCTCTCTTTTCTCCTCTCCCATTCGCCGTTTTCACTTAATTCTATCTGGGCCACTTGGACCGCATGGAATCACCCAACCGCTTGTTGTGGACCACACTCTCATCGTTACCACCAACTTGGCTTTCCAGCCACTGTTCCCGGTCAGCCCCGCCCCCCTCCCCGCATCAGTGCGGTGACACCCTCTAGACAAAATCACCCGCGTCTGAATGTCACCAACAAGTTCCACCCTGTAGTAACCCCGCCAGCGACAGCCTCACCCAGGAAGTCCTGCCATCCCCTCCGCCCATAGCCGCACGGCATCCCCACCCTGCTGGTGATTCTTGGGGTCATTGTTACCACTGACACTTTCTTTTCTTCCTGGAAGGGGAAAGCCCGCGTGGGTGTCACTGGCTGGGTGTATGGCTCTACGCGCTACCCTCCCCCACCTCTGCAAAACACACATACACATACGCCTTCTCCACGCGGGCGACACAAAGGGAGCGAGTGTGAGAGCGGGGCGCCCTCGGGGCAGGAGGGCGCAGGGAGGGGGCACCAGGGAGGGGCGGGGGCTGATCCGGCCCAGGAGGAAGGGAGGGAAGGAAGCAGGTGCCAGACACCCAGACGAAGGCGAGGGGCGTCCTTACCTGCCCCCAGGTTAAAGGAGATCCTGGCCTCTGCGAGATATGGCGTGTCGCTCTTGGAGCGGACTCTTCTGATGGGCCGCCGGTCTATGTCATCCTCCGAAGAAGCCGCCATTAATGTGGGAGGCAGGAGCAGGGTCGCCCGGCGAGCTGAGAGGAGAAGGAGATGGAGAGAGGGGGAGGGAGAGAGGCGGAAAGGGGGAGGAGGGGAAAGGAGGAGGCTCACACACATAGAAAGGGGGAGGGGAGGGGGAGGGGAGAGGAGGGGAAGGGGTAGGGAGGGTGGGGAAGAGAGGGAAAGGGTAAAAAGAGGTAGAGAAAGAATGAGAGAAAGAGAGCAGAGAAAAGGGTGAAGGGAGAGAAAGAAAATCCGTTAAGGATTGGTGGACTGGAGCAAGATCAGGTTAGCCCTGGTCTGTACCCAGGGCTCCCCCTAACTCCTCTCCCAGCGCTGGGCCAAAGGGTCAGCGCTCTTGGCCAACACCCCGCCTCCTGCCGCAGCCCTGTTTCAGCCGCTGGCACAAGACAGGCTAGTGCGAATAGGAAGACTCCAAAGCCAAGATGCCCAGTCAGCAGCACTGTGCCCTCTCCCGCCAAATACACTTCCTCTCCTTTCAAGAGCAGGCAGCTACAATCTCCACAACTCAGGGGCCTCTCTAGCCTGAAACTGCTGAAGGAAGCACAGAGGCCAGCTCTTCTGCTCCCTGCTGCCACCACTGTCACTCTTGCCCTCTTTGCCTTGGGGAAGGGCACCTACCTATTCCAGGACATCCTCTGTCTTCTATCCCTCCCAACCAGACGCCCACAATAAAGTTTGAAACAGATAAGGGCATCTTTAGAAGTTCTCTTACCTGCCCTTTACAATATAGGGTGGGACATGGAGGGAGAGTGTGGTCAAGTTTGGGAGGATGGGTTTTATAATTGATGTTTTCAGTGGAGACCAGGCTTATTCAGAGAGGTGATGGCCATCTTCTCCACTCACTAGGTTGTAGGATGTGCTTATCTCGACATAAATACCTACTGTGTGAACCTTCAACTTTTGCTTTCGGGCACTTCTAATACAAATAATGCTGTTTGTACTGGAGTTCTCTCGGCAGCTCTGCACCATTGTTCCTGAAGGAGAGGTAACGATCAAAGGGGCTTGGGATCTTTTGAACATTTGCAGTGCCTGACTGCAACACTCCACAAAACACAGCAGAAGAACCAGAGGGTTTTCTGGGGGGGGGGGGGGGGGGGGGGGGGGTATGATCAGAACCCGTTTGATGCCACCATTGTAACTATTGATGGGCTAAACTCCTTTATGCTTGTCTTTCTGGATCTTATGACACAGGTTCTTTTTTTCATTATTCTTCAGTCTAATAAGTGCCCACCTCCAGCAGGTGGATAACCTGACCTCTTTAGTACAAAGGAGAGCTCAGTATGGCTTCCAGCCCTTTGGTCTCTCAGCTCGGGCTCTACAAGGCTCTCCTCTGTACTACAGTTGCCTTGTTCCCTCTCATTTTATATTCAGCCCCCTCTGGACTTTCCTGTCTCTCTCCCTCTGGGCTCCTGCCTACACACATGCATTGTTACCCTCGGCCTTGCTGCTTCCTTGACCTCTACCATGGCCTCTGTGATTCTGCTTGAACTTCCTATGGCACTCCCAGCACGTCAGGTCTTCCATCCTTTCCCTTCTTTTTCATTCCATCTACTGCTTCTTAACTTACTGTCTCTACCAAGGTCATGTCAAAAGGCTGCCAATGTCTTTCTAACAGATCTTTCTTTCTTTCTTTCTTTCTTTCTTTCTTTCTTTCTTTCTTTCTTTCTTTCTTTCTTTCTCTTCCTTCCTTCCTTCCTTCCTTCCTCCCCCCTCTCTTTCTTTCTTTCTTTCTTTCTTTCTTCCTTCCTTCCTTCCTTCCTTCCTTCCTTCCTTCCTTCCTTCCTTCCTTTCTTTTTTGGTCTCTTTGAAATATTTCATGATCTATTTTTCTTGATATTATCTCTTCCTTGGCTCTTTCACCTCTGAACTACTTCCCTCACCACTGGATTTCTGATTGTCAGCCAGTTCCCACAAGTTAGTCTGAAGTTGCTCAACCCAAAACTCATTGTCTGCTCACGACCCCAACCCCCAAGCCCAACTTCAACCCCTCATTGTACTGTTCTCATCCAGTGTTTTCTTGGAATCTACTCAGATTATCCACATCTAACTCACTTTGGATGGACCTGCACTTGTGTTACACTACACATCTCTTCAAACTTTTCTTGTTCCCCTAAGAATGTGTTTCGGTTATGAGCCTACTGCCCTAGTTTGCTTCCTAATGCTGCATAAGATCCTGATCAATAGTAACTTGGAAGACGAAGAGGTTTATTTGGCTTACAGGTCATAGTCTGTCATTCCATCATCAAGGGAAACCAAGTCAGGAAGTTAGAGGCAGGAACTGAAGCAGGGACCATGGAGGGACATTGTTCACTGGCTTGCTTCCAAGTTCACATTCAGTTACTTTATATAACCTGAGACTGCATGATGAGGGGTGGTACCACCCACAGTCCCTTAAGGCCTTCTCCATCAGTTAGCATTCAAGAAAATGCCCCAGAGTCCCATCTAATGGAGTCAATTCCTCAATAGTGGTTGTAAAACTTCCTTGATAGAATTTTTGGGGTCACTTATGTAAACTATGATACCATCAGCAAATAATGAGTTTGACCTCTTTTCCAATTTGTATCCCCTTGATCTCCTTTGTTGTCTTATTACTCTAGCTAGAATGTCAAGTACTATATTGAATAGATATGGAGAGGGTGGGCAACCTTGTCTTGTTCTTGATTTCAGTGGGATCACTTTGAGTTTCTCTCCATTTAGTTTGATGTTGGCTTGCTTATGTTGCCTTTATTATGTTTGGGTATGTTCCTTGTATCCCTCCTTTCTCCAAGACCTTTATCACAAAGAAATGTATTTTGTCAAAGTCTTTTTCAGCATTTAATGTGTTGTTTTTAGTTTGTTTAGATGGTGGACTATATTGACAGATTTTCAAATGTTGAACCATCTTTGTATCTCTGTGATGAAGCCTACTTGGTCATGGTGGATGATTTTTATAATGTGTTCTTGGATTCTGTGTTTCAGTATTTTATTGAGTTTATTTTTCATCAATGTTCATGAGTGAGATTGGTCTGTAATTCTCTTTCTTATAATGTCTTTGTGTAATTTACGTATCAGGGTAAATTGTAGCCTCGTAAAAAGAGCTTGGCAATGTTCCTTCTGTTTCTGTTGTGTGAAACAATTTGAGGAGAATAGGTATTGGTTCTTCTTTAAAAAACTTGTAGAATTCTGTGCTAAAACCATCTGGTCCTGAGCTTTTTTTGGTTGGGAGACTTTTGATGACTGTTTCTGCTTCTTTAGCAGTAATAGGTCTGTTTAATTTGCTTCTCTGGCCTTGATTTAATTTTGGTAAGTGACATACACAGACACTGAGAGCAACAATTAATAAATGAACCTCCTGAAACTGAGAAGCTTCTGTAAAGCAAAGGACACGGTCAACAAGACAAAACAGCAGCCTACAGGATGGGAAAATATCTTCATCATCCCCACATCAAACAGAAGTCTGATCTCCAAAATATACAAAGAACTCAAGAAATTGGTCATCAACTCTCTGAATGTGGCTGACAATTGGGGCTAACTGAGAAGCCAATGATAATGGCACTAGGGTTTGTCTCTACTTCATGTACTTGCTTTTTAGGATTCTAGTCTGTTTGGATACATATTTTCCTAGACCTGGATGGAGGGGAGAGGGCCTTGGACTTCCCACAGGGCAGGATACCCTGCCCTCTCTTAGGACTGGAGGGGAAGTAGTGAGGGTGAGTGGGGGAGCAGGAGGGAATTGGGAGGAAGTGGAAATTTTGAATGGTATTATTTATAAAGCAATAAAAAAGAAATTGGTCATCAAAAGAACAAATAATCTTATAAAAATTGGGGTACAGGCCTAAACAGAGAACTCTCAACAGATGAACATAAAACTGCTGAAAGACACTTAAGGAAATGCTCAACATCCTTAGCTATCAGAGAAACTCAAATAAAATCAACTCTGAGATTCCATCTTACACCTGTAAGAATGACCAAGATCAAAAACACTGATGACAGCTTATGATGGAGAGGATATGGGGTAAAGAGAACACTCCTGCATTGCTGGTGGGAGTGCAAACTTGTACAGCCACTTTGGAAATCAGTATGGCAATTTCTCAGAAAATTAGGAAACAACCTACCTTAAGACCCAGCAATATCACTTTTGGGTATATACCCAAAGGATGCTCATTTGTACCACAAGGACATGTGTTCAACTATGTTTACAGCAGCATTGTTTGTCATAGCCAGAACCTGGAAACAACCTAAAAGCCCCTTAACCAAAGAATGGATGTAGAAGATGTACATATACACATCTACACAATGGAGTACTACACAGAAGAAAAATAATGACATCTTGAAATTTGCGGGCAAATGGATAGATCTAGAAAACAACATATTGAGTGAGGTAACCCAGACCCAGAAAAACAAGTATAGAATGTATTCACTCATAAGTGGCTTTTAGACATAAAGCAAAGAAAAACCAGCCTACAATTCACAATCCCAGAGAACCTAGACAACAAAGAGGACCCCAAGAGAAACATACATGATCTAATCTGCATGGGTAGACAAGATCTCCTGAGTAAATTGGGAACATGGGGATCATAGGAGAGGGCCAATGGGGAAGGGCAGGAAGGGAGGGGAACAGAGAAAAATATATAGCTCAATAAGAACAATAAAAAAAGAAAAAAGAAAATACTGCAATCCTGTCTCCTATCTTATTCATGAGCCATGTTTGAAGAAGAATGACAATGTTGTCTGAAGGACTAGCTAGTCAAAGATTTCCCAGGGTTTCTTTTACACATATTTATTCTTGATACAGAAAAATACATCTGTGGGAAATTCCTATTTCATACTCATTTCATACTTCAGATGTTGATTAAGAACTAAATGCTGTCAGACAGTAGTGGCACATGCCTTTAATCCCAGAACTTGGGAGGCAGAGGCAAGTGAATCTCTGAGAGTTTGAGGCCAGCCTGATTTACAAGAGCTAGTTCCAGGACAGGCTCCAAAGCTACAGAGAAACCCTTTCTTGAAAAGCCAAAACAAACAAACAAAC